GATTCTGTGTAAGATGGACAAAGGTCTAGGTGTGTTGAACACTGGTCGTAGAGCTGATCTCACATCCCCAGCTGACTTTCCTTCTGTGTTGTGATGCTGCTGTCAAGGCCTTTGATATCTGCTATATATAAATACATTGCGAAACCAAATGCCATGGGATATTATGGAGGAAAGAAGTTTACGTAGGTTCAACAACAAAGTAAAAAAAAAAAAACAACAGAGGCCTGACCTGCTGGCATTTACTTGTGTGCCAGTGTCAGGAGAGCAGCTGGCTGGTCCTTCTGAAATGTGCTCTCAGCTTCCAGTAACCTGATTGTCCTGCTCCAGTACTTGTTTTCTCAGCTTGAGACAGGATATGAATTTCAAAAGACAGCTTGCCTTGTGTTTCATCGGTTCAGGACAACCTTCCTCTCTGTCTGGAGCCACCACCAAAAGACTTGCACAAGCAATATTTAGAGTGACCGTGTGTGGCCATGTTCTGGCACCATTTCATCAAACTGAATAGTTCTCCTTTGCACATCAAAAAGCAGTGATTAACTTGTTAGTTTTTACTTCTGTAAATATTTATTTTAAAGTAACACTGGAGTATTGACAAGTCCTGCAGTGTTAGATGGTGTATTTTGCTGGCATTTTAACATCTTTTGAGTTATGTTCTTTTTTTTTTTTTGTTAGAAATGCTTGTTGTAACAAAGTCCTGGAGGAGTAGCTGGCCCTCTTCAGTCAAAAAGTGAGCCAAATCTCAAGAAATTAGCCCAACAGTTAGGTGTATATCTTAGAGAGTGGGGACTGCTTGGAAAAGGGGCTTTTGGGGAAGGCTGGGAGATTGAATAGAAGTAGTAGACATAGCAGCAATGTGTGTGCATGTGTGTTTCATTACAGTAAAGTCTTTGATGTTGTTACTTGAGCAGTTTCCTTATTCTTCTGCAAGTCTGGGAATAGGGGGTTATTAGCAAATTTTCTGCCAGTGTCTCTTTGTATTAATTTCTCTGGGTGGTAGGAGGCACAACCAGTGTGTGTTTTTAATATGTCGTTTGCTGCTATGTGCCTTTCTAGCTGAGGGATCAGAGGTTTAGCTGTAAATACTAGGAAGGCTCAGGATAAAGCTGAGCGTACAGAGTATTAACCCGAGGTCACTTAGCACAGTGAAAGCTTTTTTGCTGTAAGGTTTTCGATTTCAAACCTTGGTGTGCCCTCTGCTGGCAGTCCGTGTGGTGAAACAGAAATGGCGTTGGGTTATCTTCATGGTTGTTACCTGTGCTTGCTGTTTGCAGTCTGCTATACCAAACAATTTGAATTCCTGTCATTAAACAAATTTCATACCACAGGTAGCTGCTATTCCCATTATTTTCATAATATATATTGTATGAAAATATGCAGAACATATACTGATTTTGGCCTTGAAAAATCATCCCAAGGTATAAGTTATTACCCAGCGAATAGTTATTTGTCCTTTAAAGCCATATTCACTGATTTTTGGCAGGTATGCTGATTTGTGAAGTCAAGAAATGCTAGAATTGAGGACGTATGTGGTATTTTAATGCTCCCCTTGCTGCATGTATATGCATTTGATGCCTATATGTACTCTATTGCATACTGTTTTCCTCCACACAGGTTTTTGCACATTATTGTATTGCACATGTAAGGAGCAACAATTCCATTATTTGTTGTTTCAGTTGTGACATAGCCAAGTCTGGAGTGTGTTCTCCAAGACTGACTTCAGATTATAGTTCTGTTTACTTTCCGGTTTCAGAAAGAAATGAAGCAACAAGTGCTAATCACTTTGAAGCTGGTTCACCTCTTAAGGAGGTTCACTGAATAAATGAAAAGACCTAAAAGGAAAAAAAACTTAATATATCTGCTAAAGGAGCAAAATAAGGATTGTGCAGACTGCTTCAATGCTGATTTTGATACATCCCGTTTTCTTAAGTATTTGGCATTACAGCCTTGACCTTTTTTTAATATTACCAGAGTGGTGTTGAGACATCCAAACTCTTGAGAATGCTATCCAGAGTTGATGTGCTATTTTTCAGGTTGGCGATGGCAGTTGTGAGTAAGGTCGGAGCTTTTAGATCCTTGTCTGCCAGTTGTGCTTACTAAGCAATCAAAGTAGAGATAAGTTTGCTGTAATTTTATTGACAAGCATAATGGGATATGTTTTTTGCTTGTGGGTTTCATAGGTAGTTGCTGAAAGCAAGAGAGGGATGAGAGTGCAGGGTTTTGTGAACATAATCCATAGACATGGACTGTCTTGCTGTTCCTATCCCTGCTTTGGTTTCCGTGATTCAGGTTCCACCTCTCCACCTGCGTTATGTCCCTTGCCTCACAAAGCCTTAGCTCCTGTCTGCTTGCTAAGCAGCACTTACCCTGATCAAGGACCTTTGGGTCTCATGCTCTGCCAGCGAGGAGGGACACAAGAAGCCAGGAGGGAGCAGAGACAGGACACTCAACCCGAACTAGCCACAGGGGTATTCCAGCATGTCATGCCCGGTATATAAACTCTTAGCCTTTTCCCAGGCTTCACTTACTCCCAAGCTCAGTCTTTTCTTTTTGAGCTTCAGTCTTGATTTCGCCTCCTCTGTGGCTTGTAGCCTAAATTGTAGGTTTTGTGCTGGTTTGACTTTCAAATCACTGAAAAACTTTCAATTGGAGCTGTAACGTAACAATGCTGACAACAGGATTCCCCTTCTTGGCTACTTAAAGCAGGCCCCTTCAAAGTAGTTGCAGACTAGTCACCATGGTTGCTTTATTGAGCCACCTCCTCTTCTCTCCTCCCTGCTTGTCAAGTCTGCCAATAAATGGCAGCCAAGCGAACAAACCAGTGGACTAGGATGGAAGTAGGATGAGTCTTCAGTATTAAATAGATATGTATTTGACCCACAAATTCTAGTTGTAATTAACCATCTGGGAGCTACAATTGCAATTTTCCAGAGGCCTGACTGCCATCAGGTAGTTGCCATTTGTGTGTGCAGAGGCAGATTAGAAATGGTGTTCGAAGGTGCTGCTTGGGGAAAAAGCAAGCTGTTACTCTAATGGGGGACAGCTGAGATCTGTGTTTTTCACCAGTCACAAGAGAACATCAAGGCTGGTTTTTAGCCTTCCTACAGAACCATGCCTTTTTACAGAAAGGTGCTTGTCATGATACCAGGAAATAAAGGGTTAACATTGTGCCTGCCTGGTTAAGCAGTTGCTGTGCTTGGTGAAGCAGAACCATAGGAGTCAAAGTTGCTAGAATGGTGAAGCAGAATTGTAGTAGATAAGATTCATAACTTAACATTTAAGACATTCTTTTTTAAATAGTATCTTTAGAAAGAAAAGGAACAGAAGATAGCGAGAGTAACAAAATTTGCAAACTTGACAAGTTTCTGTTTTAAGATACATAAAACTGGCTTGTACCGAACCTGAAGTTTGGATAGGAGCCGAAACCCTATTGAGTCTGCATGAAAGCAAGAGGTTATGCACGGTGAGGAAGAGGAACTGCAGGCTTTCATCCTAACGACCACCACCAGGAGGCACTGCACAGGCGCACCAACAGAACAAATGCCAGAAAACTAATTATAATACTAGACGGGAATAGGTTTTGCATATGTATTAGGCGTGAAGCAATCTTATGTTTAGGTAATCATTATATGTAATATAAATGAACTGAGTGGCAAAGGGGGGCGTGCATGATTTTGGAGGAGCAACCCCCATGTGCCTCAGCTGAATAAACCATACCTGCTTTACAACTTTAACGAGTTGTGGAGTCAATCTGTGTATCAGTCATGCAAAACCTTAACTCCAATAGACAGGATGCCCTTGGAGAGGAGCCTGCAAGTGTGACTTTTCAGGAAGACAGCCTGGGTTATAGTCTAAGTAACTTTTCAACATCCTATTTGTCTGATAAAATTAACAACTGCAGTTCTTAGAGCAGAAGAGAAGGGGACTTAATTGTAATTTACCAACTCGGTAGGGAGCTCAAGTAATGTTTGCAAAGGATGTAAACTGTGCTGTGAGATGCCCTGCCTTGTTTGCACTGCAACCCTGCGAAGACCCCAGGATATCCTGAAAACAAAGAGAGAAAGGAGGGCGCTGGAGGCCCTGCCAGCTGTTTTAAAAAGATACTATCCTCTAACTGGTCTGTCAAGTCACTAGTTGGTGGCTGGTGAGCTCACATGGGTATTGCAGAAGGTCCACCTATGGTCCATCTGGCTGCTTATTACAGGGCAGACAGGCAGGTGACCCTGAGGCATCTCGTGTGTCATGCTCTGCCTGCTTGCCCACCCCTTTCTTAAATTGGGCTTTTTGATGGCTCATGCTGTGCAAAGAACTGGGGTGTCTGGATCCAGGTACAAAACGTCCTTAGGCAACCTCCTCCCAAACAAGCAACCTGCTTTTAGATGCAAACTTAACAAGGAAACAAAATGTTTCTACCTGGAAAAGAGGGCAGGAGGGCTTCTGTCTCCCTGGCTTCATTCAGTTCTAATTGTTGGCTGTTGAAATGAGCTGGTGGTTTCCTGTGGGCAAGGAAGCTATGGAGCTGTGTTAAGCCATAAATATGAAGGCTGTGACTCCACACAGCACTAGACCATGAGAGCTGCATACCGCGTTTACTGCTTTCCTGAACTTTTTCCCTTTTTTAGTCAAAAACTTTAAAATGAGGTTATTAACAAAGACTAATACATGTTAATTGCATCCTAACGTTTTTTTTCCAAAGAAAGTTTTAAGTTTTATAAAAGCACTGACAGCATGGTTGTGTGCTCTGAGAAGAGGAGTCAGGCATTTACACTGAGGAACTGTGCATGGAGTTCATCAGTAGGTAGGCAGGAAGGAAGGAGACTGTGCTCAATATGTACCCAAATCCCAGCTTGTTAAGTGCAAAATAGTTTTTGTTGTTGGAGTTGTTAAATGCCGTAGGTACAACTTGTATTTGGTGGACTTTTTGAGTTCTTTTGGATGCTTCTTTAGTTTTGCTAACACTTTTTTAATACTTTTTTTTTTTTTCCCCTTCTTTCTGACTTCAGCCTTTGATGGATTTCTGAAAACTGATGAAAGACAGAGACTGGCAAAGGAGAGAAGAGAAGAAAGGGAGAAGTACCTCGGTAAGGTGACAGAAGGTGTATGTATTATTTATGCATCTGTATTAATAGGCTTAATTTACTAACATGACATTTTTTCTGTTCTGAATTTTAAGTTTTGTGTTTTAGCCTGTTACTAGTCTTTATCACTTACATTACTACTTTTAAATTACGTGCAAGATATTGGTTGTTAGGATTCTGATTTATAAAAACATCAAATAAGCCTTGAATAATACTCAGGATGACACGTAGAACAGTTTGGTGAAACAATCTATTATGTTTTAGCCATGATAAAAGACCATGGAGTTGTTCAGTATGGTATAAAGCAGGTAATTGTGTGTAGGTTTTTAAATTGTTAATATTTAAAGAGAACTAAAAAAAATGAATTAACTTTCTGTATAATGTAAGCATTGATTTCAGAGGTTTTAAAATAGTCAGTTGTTTTTTTTTAATCTACTAATACCTCCAGGGAACTGTTGAGGGAATTGCAATATATATGTGTGTGTGTATATATAAAGCAATTTTTTTAATATAGATATATATAAGGGAGGGTGTGAGTGTACACAGTTAATTTCATATATATATGAATGAAATTAACTGTTCAATATTGTTTTGGACTTTTCATATATATGTATTTTAAAAATGTTGAACAGCTACCTTCACTTTTCTCATGGTAATAACAAGAAAGGCCAGTAGCACTGTCCTGAATGTCACCTGACAGTACATTTCAGAAGGAACTGTCAGTGTTTCATGATTTTGTAAAATTCAAGCTAGGCATATATTTGGAGGAAACGTCAACTAAAAGCCAGCATGGACACCTGTGGAAAGAATTATAGCAAAATACTGGGTTTCTTGCAGTAAGTAACCAAATACACTGTTGACTGTTCCCTGACAAAACATGAGTCTTGAGACCAGTGACAAGACATTTTTTAGTACCTGTGGGCTTGGTAAACAAGATTCCTTTTGGTAATTCATGTGAAAAACTGCTGCTGTTTAGTACTTCATCTCTCCAGAAGTTCTGTCTATGTGGGACATGCATCAGCCGGAGTTGTAGCTTACCTCTCTTCCATGCATACTCAGTCTGGACTCTCTCTTCTGTACTCTTGATTAACCCTTCTTTGCTGGTTCCCAAGAAAATGACATGATGAGTAGATTGGAAAGGATTCGAATTAAAAAAAAAAAACAAAAACAGAAGAAAAAATGATAGGGGAAACTGAAAGCTGGAGAATCTGGGAGCAGTTGGCTCAGGGGATTTGGAACGTGTTGGCTGCCCTTCTTCTCTACAGACATCATATGTGCCTTCTGGAAATTTTAGAGTTGTGACCATTTCTAGAAGCTCTGGGATTTGGGCACAGTTTGTCTGTGGCACCTTTCTTTTAGAAGTTCATGAAAAAAAGCAGAACAGATCTGTATGCAGCCAGCAGGTACTTTGCAGCAATGTGGAATAACCTTTTCACGAAAGCCAAAATTCATTCCTCAGGGGTTTAGTATCCCTAAATTAAGGAACAAGAGTTGTATGTATGTCCATGATGACAGAATGGTTTCCTTCTCTGTCCAGAATCACTTCCAGGTTTCATCTACTTGCTCAGAAGGTGATCTTAGCACAAATCTCTGGACACCCCGCTTTATTTTTGGGTTTTATCAACTCCAGCATGCTGTTTTCACCTGCTCTACCTGATATGGCCAGTAGTTGTTAACACTTAGTGACTGGTCACTTGTCTTCTACCATCTCTGATGTAACTCTTTATCTGTTGACAAGTGTAATTCTTCATACCTACAAGTCTAGGCATGCCTGCAGCCCTGACAACCCTCTCATGCTGCCCTGTCCTGGGGCAGGGGGAAATAGGGAATCCTTATAAGACAAAAGGGAAAGACAATATAAACAACTGTATTTCTAACAATAATAAGGTAGAAGGTGTTCTATAAAGCAGGATGGATGCAAGGAGGATGTATTTTAGGAGGATCCAGCAACTTTTGGAGAAGGATCTGATGTTGGAGGCACTCTAGCTTTAAACCAAGGATTTTGAGGGTGGAGTGGGGCTAAGAGGGACTGAAGGTCACAGCTGTGGTTAAACAGCCCAAAGGCAGGAGCTAAGTGGAAAAAGGCTGATGTGAGTATAGGGGATTCAAATGGCTGGGCAACAGCCGGGATGGAAAGATACAGAGAGAAGAGTAGGAGGAAGAAAATTTTCTGTACAGGGAAGCAGAAACTGAAGAAGCAAGCTGAGACTGAATAGGTGTGCAGGATGAAGGACTAGCTCTTGTGTAAACACTGTCAATTCTGGCTTTCCCTTCCTAAGAACATTCCCAAGTTCTTAGCCTGGCAACAGTAAGAATATTCCACTTTTCATTCTGGCTGTACATGTGACATTACAGGCTTTTGTGTTTTTAGGCATGCTTACTGAGCTCTTCTTCCTTGCCTTTTAATGGAATACACTTGCATGAGAAGTGGATTTTTTTTCTCTTGATTTGTCACGTTAACTTCTACTACTACTTTTCCTGTGCAAACCTGAAGCAACAGTCTTGTATGTAATGTTACAGTCTGAATTTCTGTAACAACAAGCTAATGTCTCAAGAAGATCATGACTCCACCAGTTGCAATAAACTGGGCAAACCCTCAATAACAGAAGTAATTTTTTTCCTGCAAACAGGCAGAAGTGAAAAACTGTGTAGCACCAAATTACAGACAGAGACAGAATGGTGCATTTTCCAAGCTTTGTAGAAAATTTAACATACGTTGTTTTAGTGTGTTTATTTTGAAGGCGGCCCCATAAAGGGAAGCATAGTTTTAAAGAAATTCCAAGGGCTTTTGCTTCAACACGTTTAACTGATTTGCTTCAAAACCTACTGGAAACGTGTTATGTTTCAAAAAAGAATTTGGCTTTAAGCTACAGAAGGATTTGAAACATAACCAAAACCTAGTTGTTAATTATTCTGTACGCTGTTTTTATATAGGTAAGGGGCACAAACTCGCCTTGTGTACCAAAGGCTTCCCTATTTATTTACTGAGCAAATCACTTAGATTTACTAATCATCCCAGCACTTCTGTGCACTGTGTTTTTGACCTTAGTGGACTAAAGCTATGCGTAATTGCATTTGTTGTTTGACTGTTGTGTTATGTCATAATTTTAAAGCAGGAGAAGGTCTGCATAAAGTGAAATACACCTTTTTCTCTGCCTAAGCTGCTAGGGAACAGCAGATACTGGAGAAGGAGAGAAGAGCAAAACTTCAATATGAAAAGCAAATGGAGGAGCGATGGAAAAGATTGGAGGAGCAGAGGCAGAGGGAGGAGCAGAAGAGAGCAGCTGTTGAAGAAAAAAGGAGACAAAAGCTTAAAGAAGAGGAGGTAAGGTCCATTGGGAGATGTATGGCAGGGCAAGTCTATATTGTAGCGTTAGACATGGCTGAATATCGACATGCATTAAATGTTGATTTTCATTTATTTATTGGCCCAGAGGCATGTGGGCATTACTTTGGGAACCTCAGACACATGTCACCCCAGCTAGAAGTACTTTACTGCTGCTTGTACATCACAAACACTTTCCAGGTTTTTTGTTTTTTTTTTTTGTTTTTTTTTTTTGGTCTCTTTATTTTTGTCTGATCTCACACAATAGTCGTGTATTTATGCTAATGTATCTGGGACTCTGTCAGATGATAAAGCACCAGCTTTCCAGAAGATAGGTTTTAAAGATGAGTGTTTCCATAAAAGGGAAAGATTTTTCTTAGTGTTTTGTTTACTGTCCCTGAAACTGAAATAATGTTTATGAAAACATTTTGTTTTTCCTCAGTGACATAAAATCAGAAATTCTTACTTCAAGCAGTGAAGAATTTAGGCTTAAAATTCTAGCACAGAACAAAATTACGCATATATCTTTTGAAGCATGTTTGTTCCCTTCTTCTACTCTCTCTGCTGAGATCATTTAAGGTTCTTTTTTGCTCCAGTGAGTCCAATTTCTGATGCAGATCTCTGAATACAGTGTGTGTGTGTGTGTGTGTGTGTGTGTCTCTCCACATGACTTTCTGTAGAAAACGCTAGCACTGCTACTGCAACTGATAAAGAATTAATGTTTCTTGGAAAAGAGGGCAGTGGTGTAAAGAGAAGAGCCAAAAGAAGATATTTCTCTAGTTGCTAGATAAAAAGCCTCTAGAAATTTGCAGTTCTTACTCTTCTTTTATGTGTGCCCCTTCATCTTTTGACCAAAATATCTTTGCAAAAGATGAAAAACTCTTTTGCGAGAGATCAAAATAACATACTGCTCTCAATTGAACTTTTTTAAAATTGACTTTTCACTTTAACCTGATGAGATTATATCCTGTCATTTGTCTTTCAACTATAACATACTGGTTGTGGCTTCTGCATAATAGCTGAGAATGCATTTTTAAATATTTTGTCATATGCTTTGTTTCAAATTTTGGTCAGAAAAATAGCAAAATTAGAAACAAAGGGTAGGTGTCTCCTTCTGTGGTAACATCAATGACCTATTGTGCTCCTTCGCCAGTATTTTCTGCTGTCATAACCTTTTGCAGCTAGGCAAGAGCAGTCCCCTTTATTGGGGTTGTAAGGGAAATGGCAAGTACAAAAACACTGTCCTCAAAATTTTCATCAGAGCAGGCAGGAAGGGGGAAAGGTGTAGGAAGAGTGAGCAACTGCATACTTTCCCTACCTACATGGTTTGCCTGTGCTGGAGAAATAAGAGCAGGGTTGTCAGACATGAGAGGCTCTGCCAGGTTAGGCCCAAAGAGTCTGTTTAATTGGGACCCTACCTCCTGTAGTAGCCTCCTGCACTTGCCCAGGGATGGATGTAAGGGGCTGAGCAAACCTGTTGTAGCTCTCCAAAACTCTGTACATGTGATGGGAGACTTCTCTAATGGCGAGAGAAGTGCTGCCTCCAAGTGTTTGGTTGTAATATGAATACAGCTCCTAGCTCTGCTTACTGAGCTGGTCCTTCAGGCTTAAACTGTCCAAAGCAGTTTAAGTTGGGAACCAAGGCAGCCCTGGCCTGGCTCCTTTCCCTTCCCTTTCCTCCTTCTCCTTCCCCTTAAGAACCTGAGAGAAGGTTATGTGAGCAGGAGAACAGGAGAGAATGCTTATTTGTTTGGGGATGGATTAGACCTGTTGTGAAATAAAATCCAGGAGTCTCTGAAGGAGGGGAGGGTACAAAGGGGAATAATCTGTAGGGGAAGATGAGGGAAGAAGGAAACTGTGAACAGGAGACATCACCACTTCCTGGCGTCCCTTCTTCCTTTTGTGATTACTTGTCATTTCCTCATTTCTCAAATTCCACTTGAGTTCTACTAATGGATCTGTCAAGTCCTCCCTGTTCACCCCTCCTCTCACCCTCAGGTCTTCCGATGAGCCCCTCAAATCCTGTATGCATAGTAGCAGTGGATGTCTGAGAAAGGATGATGATGAGGTTGCAGTTCCCTGAGCATTGCAAGTTACTCGCTGCTCATGAGTCATTCTGGACATTTGAAACCTTTACTGGAAGAGCTTTGAACCTGTATTTCCCACACCTGAAGGTGGGGGTGGGAGGGTGGTGAGGAAAAGAGGAAGTGGTGGTGCCCTGGCCAGTAAACCAGTACACTTGCTTCCTGGAAAGATTGTTTTGATGCACATCCACTATTTGTTGCGTTTGTAATGAGCATGCACTTAAACACAAGAGAGTTAAAAACTCCCAAGATGTTATAGCATTAATTGCTTACTATGATTCAAAAGGTAATTAACTTTGAATTATAATATATGGAACTAGTCATTGCCTTCCAAACCTCTTTTGGCAACTCGTATACTGGGTGGAATTCAGTTGCACAGAAATTTTGCTACAAACTGCGATTTCTGTGCAAGAGGTCTCTCAATTTACTGTGCAGTGGATGTGAGGAGAAGAGTTTAGTCTTCATTACAACACTGATGGTCATCTGCTCCCCCCACTATTGCTGCTGCAGCTCCCCACATACCTTTATGTATGGTATATTCATTGTTCTATGTTGTTATTTGCACACATGCTTAATACACACCTGTAATTGTAATTGGTTGAGAGCAGAAATTCTATTCAGAAGGGTAGTTAAATTTAAAATTCTATATTGCTTTTCAATGTGTTCTTTAAATAGAGCATAGCAGAACTCTTTTGTTGCTAAGTGGAAGAGCCAATGGATAATATTAGCCAACAGTGAGCTACTTGCATACAGTGCTGATGAATATCTACAGTGAAGAGGAAAGGATGTTTGTATTTAAGATAGATTGGTTTATAATTGTTTGCACAAATTATTTTAAGTGATAGTACTTGTAAAATTAATTTTTCACTTGTTTTCACACTTGCATTGTATTTTACATAGAAAGAAGAAAAGTACTCCAGTCAAATTACTGGTGTCTTCACTATTGGGTTTTGGGATGGCTGGGGGTGTGGTTAGTTGTTGTTTCTTTGGTTTTAATTCATACAGTGCAAATTTGTCTTCTGTTGCTTAGTCTGAGGAAAACCTGGATGAATAACTATGGATTTTGGCAAGTAACATGTATATTTTAGATACTAGCAGTAGGTGGCTCTGTCTTTATGGTTTAACTAATTTTTAGTTTAACCTACTTGCAAAGCTTGTAGGTTAAAGTTTTTTGCAGAAGCTTCCTGTTCGGTGTAGAAATTATTTGTTCTGTCTATAGCTGTCAAAATTCCCAAATGAGGATCACATGCATAGTTTGTTATGCTTTTAAGAAAGCACTTAGTTTATAACATAGACGGGAAGGGTTTGCTGATGAAGGAATTCTTTGTCTTGTTCAATTTTCATCATGGACCTAATTATTCATGTATGAGTTTATGCTGTGCTTCCATGTGTCTTATAGTTTTCTTTGGCTTTTTAGTTTTGTGCTAACTTAAAATGTTTTTTAAATACCTATCCTTTCTTTGTGAAAGATGGCCTTTATATTGTTCTTTATCTCAGCCATATCTGCAGGGTTTAATGGTGTTTAACAATTATGTCCTATAGTGCTTTAATGAAAGGCTCTTTGAAAATGAAAATGAATGATCCTCTCCACATCATGTAATTGAAGATTTCAACCTGAGATTGTAGGTAGCATGGGCTTTCAAATGTGTATGAAAAATAATTTAATTTCCTTAATCTATTTCATCGTGCATTTTATTCTTAAAACAGCACTTTCAGAGTAGGTGGTATAAGTGTATTCTGTGGTTTCCAAACTACGGAATATTGCTGGTCCTTGCTGCAAGCAGCATTAAAAAAAACAACTCAAATGTAACTCGCCTGGATGGTTGAAACTTGGCTGCTTTCATCTTTTTTGATTAATGTATAATAATATTCATATAGATATGGAAAGAAAAATTCTGTATAAGTGTGTACTTTAATGAGAGAAATGGGAGGGTGATTTTTCCTTTGAAAAGAGTGTGGGTAGAAAAGTGTATTTGGGCAAGATGCACAGCAGAAGAAAGTGATGAAACAGTCTGCAGAGAAAAACTGGTGATTAAATAGTTGAGGTTTGGAAAGAGTTGAGTACAGAAAAGGGACTCAATCAGAATGCATTAATGTTGGGAGGTGGGAATTTAAAAGCAAAAAGCCAGCACATGCAGGTTTTAAATGTGAAAATTGCATCCTCAAGTAGTAAAAGAAGAAACAAAGACTGCAGCAAACTAAATCAGACGAGAGTGACTTCAGATTCAGGACTGGAAGATTGCTTTCTTGTCATACCCAAGGCATGGACAGAAGTGATAGAGTGTTCAAAACTGTGGGGGTTTTCTGTGCTTTTGCAGAAGAGGCTGTGCTTGTGCTTTGTGCTCCTTCATGCATTTGCTCTGTAGGAGAAAAAGGAAGATGAAAGAAGCAGAGTGCACATTTGTGTGCCTGGATACTGATGGCACTGACCAAACAGAAAGGGGTGGGGGAAAAGGGGGAGCGAGGGTGGGCAAGCAGCTGTCTGCTTTCAAGTGGTCTTTGAATGATGTTACCTGGTAGAATGTGAGCTAAAGGCCTAGAAGGGAGACAAAACCAAAGTGAGAGTTCACAACACATTGATCAAAAGGTTTTCTTTCTGGAGACAGCAGCAGAAATTGTAAGAGCAGGTTGGGTCACCTGGCTCAAAGGTAACAGGGACAGGAGAGCTGAGAATGATAGAAAGGGTATGCAAGAATTGCCTTTTTTCATGCTTTCTATAGAGGGTAGTATAATGGAATTCTTTGTGGTACAAGTTATTTGTAGTAAAATTAAGAGAAGAGAGCTTCAAGATAAAAGATAGCGACTTGCTGTTGAAATGGATGGATAACTGGTAGTAGGGTTGGATGAGGTAGAAAAAATGAGGCCAGAAACAAATTACAGGAATTCATGGAAGTAGAAGAGGTTCTTCAAAGATGTTGAAGAGACAAAAATAAATTGCAGGTAATCAGAAGATGATGAGAAGGCATCTGCTGCTGTAGAAAGCCATTGACCATAGCCAGAGCCCCAGGAAGTTTACAGGTACATGCTTAAAAGTTCCAGCCATGGTAGTTACTGTGGGTGCCTGATGTTAGGGTCTGATCTGCTGAAGTTGTTCCATTAGAGACAACAGGTTCAACATCAGTACAGAGACTGAATGAGACATGCTTGAACAAAGACTGAAATTTTGAGGTAAAACATCTCAGGGAAGCAGAATAGTAAACCTAGACTGAAGTTGTGAATTGGTGAGAGAAAGTAATCTGGCCAAGAGATGCAGGACAGGTTTTCCTCACATTTGCTCTGAGCTACCAAAAGATATTGGAGACAGAGCAGGGGATTGATAAAAATTGAAGTGTATATGATGTAGTCACAGAAGCCTGCAGGATCAACAGTTTGAAGTAGATAGAGTTTTATACTAGATCAGAAGGACGTATCAAAGGTAGTAAGTAATAGGATCAAAAATACTAATAGGATTGAAGGGTTCAAAACCATTGGGGCAGGAGTTGGTAGCAGCAAGAATAGACTCATCTTTAAGGGTAGGGGTAGGGCTGCTGAAATTTGAAGGTGAAGAGGTTGCTAGATGTGAATGAGGTGCTGAGAGAAGGAAAGGAATAGGCTGGTAAGTGATGGAACGGTAGGTAGGGGAGAACCAGGTTTTTTCAGCTTGAAAGAAGGAAAAGGTGCAGAGATCAGCAACACAGCAAAAAACTACTGAGAAACTAGCAGAAGAAGGAAGCGGGAAGTGAGAGGAGGTGGTGGAGAAGGGAGTAAGGCGACTGTGTAGCTGTAAGTTAAAGGTAGTTAAAAGCAGGATTTAGGGAGGAAAAGAAATCGTCTTCTTCCCCATCTGAAAATCCTACCTCATCAAGCCATGGAGAAGAACATGGTTGTGGAGCAGGAACAAAAAGTAAATTTTGGAACAACACAATCTGGGCGTGTACGAATAAATACACTCGGGGAGAATAAAATAAATCAGAAGCTCTTACGTGCCTTGACTGTAAAGGATGTGGTGGAAGAAAGGAGACTTTTTGTAAAAATAAATAAATAAATTGGGCATCCTTGCAAAGTAACCTACTTTGGGTTTGAAGTGATCATTTATCTGCGTGGCTAGGAGGAGCCACTGGCATTGCAGCAATTTAGCTGTGCTCAGGAAGGGATGGGAAAAAATTCCTGAGGTCTGCATAGACAAGAAGGAGTTAATGCTTGTCGAGCATTATTCTTATACAAATTAAGTCCGGAGCACAGCAGCAGCCTCACCAGCAGGAGCAGATGCTAGGCAGTGATGCAACCTGTGTTGTTTACTTAGGCCTCTGTAGTGACCTCAGTGGCTTGCAGACAAAGGATACGCATATCTGGAGGTAGGTAGCTTGCTGGTACCTTCTTTATTCAGTCCTTTTTCTTATATTGCAAGCAAGTTTCTGTAATCATCATGTGTGGAGCAACAGGGGAACTGTGTATTTTTAGTATGGTTTCAGGCGGAGGGAAAAAAAAGCCCCCAAAGAACTGATTCAGATTTGGTTTCTGGTTTTGCACCAATATAACCAGGAACGTTTAGAAGCCATGATGCGTCGATCCCTTGAACGCAGCCAGCAACTGGAACAGAAGCAGAAGCGATGGTCGTGGGGAGGAGCACTAGCTGCAGGCTCAGGAGGGAGAGATGGTAAGTGAAACAGGCTGCCTGCATTGCAGATCTTTAAGTGCAAAATGCATGAGGTTGTGGATGATGCATTTTATAGGTAGGGTGGTATTGTAGGGGCTACTGCCCTGGGGTGTGAATAAAGGCTTTGTAATTGCTTGTAAATGTTGCCTCTCCCTAATACTTTCCGGGGAAAAGGGTGACTCCTAACTTTAGGAATGCTGCTCATTTTGATAGAGTAACTAGAATCTGTTTGGAGGATGCTAAATGCTACAATTAAAATTTATGCTCTCTCACTTATTCTCTTCTCCCGCATTGTCTTCCCATGTACCCAGTTAGCAAATACAATATTCACCAGAGGACTGAGTGTTGACTGAGCCTTGAAAAAGATGATCTTCTTTTTGTCTGGTACTTCTAAAAGCCTGACAGGAAATTCTAGATGACTGTGCAGCATATGCAGTTTAAAATAGTTTAGTGTTTTTCCCCCCCCACATACTTTTTGTTGCTGCTCTTCTTGATTTGGCTTCCAAACAAATTCTTTTTACTACATAATCAGTCATGTACTGCTTTTATATTTCAAAAAGATGCATTTTTTTTTGTTTAAATCATATGGTTTATTTAAATTTGTCAGGTTTGAATAAACTGATGTTATGGGGAAAAAATTACATGTTTAGGTAATGATGAAATATGACATATATTTAAATGGTGTGTAAATATACTTAAATGGCAAACTCAAATTCCCATCATAGTTTTCACAGTATGCCATCAAAAAAGCCAGGAAATTATATATGGTAATAAAACAAGTCTTTTATACTTTGAGAAGGAAACCAGTTTGTCTTTGTGATGCAGTTTATGCTTAATTCCAGCTCCCCCAGTTTATTCAGTAATTTCTTTCACCTCTTTTTGTTCTGATTTCTCTGCTGTGTAGGTGAATCAGAAAATACCCCACCCCCTGTTCTAGGTTTAGCTGCCAACACCCTTCCTCCAGACCCTGTGACCTCTACTGCTCCTGCTGATTCCCTCAATGGTATTTCAGAGAATCTCAATACCATCGTGTCTTGTTTATAACTGTTTTAATCACTCCATCCACTGATCTTGTCCTTCCTAACCACTGTTTTCTTATTATTTCAGTCCGCTACTCTACAGCATTACCCTTACTGTTGTAGACCAAACGTCTTTTTAATTTCCTTTTGATTTTGCCATGGTGGAGCAGTGCATGCCTCACATTCCAGCACTGTAGAGGCATTTCATGTTTTTCTCACTATCTGTAAAGTTCTCCTGCTCAGATTTTCATTTCTGTTAATTCTGTGGGTGCTCTGTGTTTGTGTGTGTGTGTAAATATAATTACATATCTGACAGTTCTAATGGACATGCACAGGTGCAGGTGCTGTTGAAAAAAAATTCAGTTGCACAGTAAGAGAAAATGTGTTACCCAAACCATGTTTCATCTCAACAGTCTTCCTTTTCCACCTCAAGGGCTTTTTTTCTGCAATATGTTAAGAACAAGCAAGTTTGATTTAAACAGCCATGTTTTCAGTCTCCTTGAAGCAGATTTTGGCCAAGATGGCATTTGTAACAAATTCAAGTAATTGACTTTGTTTAAGCAATTGTTACGGTTTTTCTTCTTTTATATTGTTCAGTTGTTTGGTTTAGTTTGGTTGTGGGTTTTTTGTTTTGGTTTGGCTTTTTTTAGTGCCCAGAAAAAGACTTTGAGGTAGATGTGTCCTCCGAAATGAAGAATGGCTTGCATATAGGGTTTCTGATTTTGATTGCAAATGTACTTAGCTGTGCTTTTAAGAACTAGGTTCCATCTCTCCCCCCAAAGGAGGAGTGAGGCTTGGCTATTACTCCTGCAGAATGCATAGTAAACGTTGTTCTGCCCATGATCTCTCAGAACTGTTACATCTATGCAAACAGATTCAAATTTTTGTACTAATTGTGCTCATCTAGGAAGAGATTTGGATGTGGAACTGGTGTTTTGCAGCACACAAGCATTATACCAGCTTTTTTGAAAAAGCAATATTGAAGAATTGAATTGTTTACTGTACAAGGTGAAGGCAAATCTTGCAGACCCCACTGAGCCAACATTTTGATGGATGTAATAGGCAATGCAGTAACTTAGGCACTGCAGAATTAGGGCCACATATATGTGTCTAGCTGAAAATATTTTTGTTTTTGAAAGAAGTAAGATTCAAATTTAAGGGACAAAGCATCTATGCTTTTAGCTTCTGAGTATCATGCAGTGATCGTCGTATACAAGTACGCTGTAGTAATACTTGAATTACCTTTGTCTGTTGTTCAGTCGAACGTTAGCAGTCGAATGCTAAGGTAAGACATAGGTATTGTGCTCAAATAGACTTTGTCAAACAGTTAAAGCCCTTGGGGTAGTACCAGCACGAAAAGATAAAGCCAAATGGCTGGTGCCACACTGGTCATTAAAACACTGAGTTCTAGCTATGCAAATGTTGGTTATCTCATTTTCGTATTAGAGTAATACCTGAGGTCCACCCCAGCTCTTCTAGACTGAAGTAGAGGGGAAGGGGAACGGAGACAAGGAGTTCAGAGTTGTCATGTGTGCAGTTTATTTTCTTTAAGTAACTTTCTGCTTGTGCTGGTATTTAATGTCTTATATCAGAATGGCTTCACTCGTTTGGCTCCAGTACATAGTTATTTGCTTGTGGCAGTATAAAAGATGAGCTGTTGTAAAACCGGAATGTGAAATTCACAAGCAGAAAAGTTGCATCCCAACCTACATTTTATAAAATGCTCATCCTCCAGCAGTCAGAAAGAGCTTATCTCATGCTTCATTCAGTGCTATGATCGGGGCAAGGGCCACAAGTACAAATGCAAGGTTAATTTGGAGCATTTATCAATACTCTCATGTGAATACAAATATCTTCAATGCGTCTCTCTGCAGCATGTGACAAACTTTCAGCTTCTACAATGAATCTGCCAAAGCAAATGGAATCACCAATCAGTAAGCGCCTTTCCTCCTCCACAGCGGCCATAACACATTCCCCCGACAGAGGCAAGTGAATATGCTGGTCTCCTACCAGCATAAACTCTCCTTCTGCTTAAAGCGCTTCTTCTTACTGTCTGTACAGCTATGTAACTCGGTTATGCCTGAATATTTGAGGGGTTATAAGTTAATACAATAAAACAGTTCTGCAGCCTGTCCCAAGGCTGTGCTGCCATGCTGGCGATCCTGGTCCAGCAAGAAATGCTGTGGGCTTTTTAACTGATTCTTTTTCAATTTTTAATACTCCAGCAAACAGGGTTGTAAGCACATGCTGTGACTGCAGCAGTTCCCTATAGCTGCGATCTTTTAGCCAAACAGGGGAAACCAAGCAAACCAAGAATGTGGCTCAGCAATAGACAGGGAATGTACCATGGGCAGAAGTATGTCCAGTGTGCCACCTGGGGGACTTCAATCTGGTGACCAGTCTTGTAGAGGACTTTAATTTGATTAGAAAATCTGATCCATGAGAGGTTCCACAAAAGATGATCATCTTGCAGGATTAGTGCTTACTAAACACTAGGGAGAGACTGAAGGGTTTACCGCACTGTGAACTCTGGAGGGTTTTTTTTTGTGTTTTTTTTTTTTGCTTTTGTTTTCATTTGTTTTGTGGGTTTCCTTTTTGTTTTTAACCTCACTTCCTCCCTCCTTTTTTTTTTTTTTTAAAGAAACACAACCAAAAACCAACAACCAAAAAACTAACGGGAAAAAAAAAGTGTATTGGGTGAAGTAAGTGCCAGTAGAGGCTTGTTTCTAAAATGAAAAGAAAGGGTAGTCTCATTTCTGAATTGCTTAATGGAAACTCATCAATAGCTCTGAGGTTATAATGATAGATGGCTATATACATATGCATGTAACAGGAACATCTATAAATATGTCTTATATAGTTGACACATTTATGGAGGAGTAAGGAATGCAGGCCTATTGTATAAATAAGACTTACATAATTTGGTGAGACTGCAAATTTTAAGTGCAGTTCCAGAATAGTTGGCACATTAGTGAGTAGCTGTGCTGTTAGACCACATGTTTCACCTTTTCTACTGGGGAAGAAGAGAAACCTTTATCATGCTGAGTCATGAAAGCAACCGTTTTGCAGATTGGAACCTCTGTCTGTGTAAGAACAAAATGCAGCATGGTCTTAATGTTACTGTATTTATTGCACAGGTGAGAAAATAATTTAAAGTGATGGAGAAACTAGAAATGTGTGGGTTTTTTTTTTTTCCAGAGGTAATGAAAGTTACCTTTAAATATGTTATATCTCAAACACTTCAAGATTTCTTTTTATTTCATTTAATCATTTCATCTTTTTTTTTTGGTTGTTTTAATGTAACATTATTTTATTTGTTTACATTTAAAATTTTATTTGCTCCCATCCTTCAGCTCACCGCATGCATCTTAGTCCAATGGAAAACTTTATTGTTTCTCGACTGCTGACTCCCACACAGTCATCTTTAGCCAGAAGCAGAAGTACATTAATGCTTTCTGAGTACAATAATCCAGGTAAAAACGTGAATTACTCACTTTGAAACTGTTAAGGTATGGTTTTGGTTGCATTTGACTAGTTGCTGAAAGAAATGGACTACTATGAACCAAATGACAATTTACATCGTGGTACAGAACCTGCAATGAACTAAGTTGTTCTCGATAGCAGTGCACATCATCTTGTCTGTCTTGGTTGGGATGGCTTTTTATTTATTTTTTTTTTTAAACTATGTTTTTTTTAAAAACAGACAAAAAGCTGAATCATCAAAATCACTAAAACCTATGTGAGTGGAAAACTGAATATATTCATTTAAGAAACAGGTTTTTAGACCAGTGTGTGATACCTCTCGGAGGCTTTATCTAGTAATGTTATCCCCTTTCATACCCAGACAGTATGTAGAACGAAAATCCCAGTGGACCATTTAAGCCTTAATTATTTTTACCAGGGTTCCAGTTTTTTGCTGTTAAATTACTTTTTGCCTTTAACTGCGTGGCTGTATGTGTATTTATATATATATGTATATAGCTGTGTATGTGTATATGCACATAAAAATTATATTTACTTAGAGGAAAAAACAGACACTGATAGGAAGGTGTCAGTTCCAGAAATTATTGTTCTTTTTAAGGGGTTATAGTTAGTGTTCCAATCTTTAAATGGAAGTCTTAAACCCCTTATTTTGCAAACATCTACAAAACTAGTGTTTCTAGTCGAGCTAATACTTACTTAGGTAAGTGCCTGACTTCCAGGGTATGACCAGGTATATCTTTATGGGTAGACAGTAATGCTTGTGGAAACAAGGATGAAAGTTTAACAGCTGTTTTTACTTCTATTAAGAAAAAAACCAAAAAGGCCCCACAAAATAAATACCCCAGAACCCACACCCACATGCCTGTCTGTAAAAGGAAACACTTTTTCAGGATAAGACTAGTTAGACAGTGAAAGAGTGGTCATCTTTATGATAAGTATTTTCATACACCATGACTGAAATAGGCTCAGGTTGTACCTCTGTGCTTTTAATACGAAGTTATTTGAAGACTAATTGCAAAGGAGGCCTACTTCCCTTTAAGCATTACTTCTTTGTTGTAGTGCAAAGGGATGTTGATATTGAATGGCTCTAAAATTCTTTCTTTCTTCTACATTATAAGCAGCATCTGTTGGAAGCAGAAATACTGTCATGTAGTCTTGGCCCATGAGAAAATTCCTAGTTTACTGACTGCTCAGGGATCAGCTGCTGCTAAGACTGAACAAAAGCCAGGTGTTTGTTTTCATGTTGTATTTGATAATGAAGAAATCAATAAGGACTCCTTTTGTCCTTCCCTACTCGTTCTGTTTGTAAACTCCCATCTTTATCTCTCTTTCCAGTGGAGGATCTTTAAGTAGCACACTGGCTTGTCTGACAAGAATACAATTTGGCCTGCAAACTGCTTTTTACCTGAGCTGAAAACAGAAGCACTGATTCTGGGAACAGCTCTCTGAACCAGCATCCTCTTGTCATTTCCTCCCAAGGCAATCAGGCTGTAGCACAGGTAGCAAACAGCATCAGTACTCAGAGTGTCAATGGACAGTTTTGTCAGTAGTTGCCAGCCACAGGGTTGAGGGAGGGATTTCCTATTTGTTGTGTATGTCTGTCTGTTAAAGTAGCTTCCTGAAGAAGAAAGGCTCTTCTTTTTCAAGAGTTTATACTCTTCATGTGCCTCATCACATTGTTTGTGTCAAAATTGTTTTGCTCCTGCATTTTCTGTAAGATTAGATATAAGGACGCTTAATTTAAGACTCTCTCGGGCAATGCATTATTGTCACTTTCTGTTGAGATACTTGGGCAAACAGTTGTTATTGGACCCATAGAATTGATTAATTGATTATTGTTTATTTTTTTTACGCTTGAAGTAAAAATACTTAGCATAAAAAAGCCAAGGAAAAATGCTTAGCAGCATTCAAGTTTTAGACCAATTTTCTTAGTAGTCAGTGAACCTTTTCCAACTGGCTGGGAAGTCAATCAAAGAGTATATGGGTCCGGTTAAAATCTCTTATGAAAAAAAGCTTTGTAAGAGATTTTTAGGACTGCCCCCATTTAAAAAAAAAAAACAAAACAAATACTGTAAATATTAATTCCTTTACATTTTAGCATAATTACTGCTTTTCCAATGTCAGTATCCTTCTTGACCTGAGTTGAATAAGATTGGAAACGCACTGTCACGTGGTTACAACTAGTGTCTGTCTTATTAATAAAGCATAAGCTCTGTTGATTGTTTTATATGTATGTGAAAGTTTCATCTTAAAAGGCAGTATGAACAAAACCAGAGGTAAAATATCTGAGTTTTTAAAGATCCTGTTCATATTGCAAAAAGAGAAAATACCCAGGAAGAGTTGCCCTGCAAGCTGTAATGCATGTGTCACACTCAAACTGAGGTCTACCATAAAAAACAATAACTGAAATACCTACAGCAGCATTTAGTTTAGGTTTGGGGTTGGTTATTTTTGTAGGGTTTGTTTATTTTAAGTATATTTTGACAAGAAATTAAGGTATTTGCTATGTTTAGGCTTTTAAAAAAATAAATTCCCTGCGCTTCTGTCACCTTTACTGTTTTGCAGTATTTGTTCAAAAGTCACCCAGCTAGAATTGTTTTATTCCTTTTTCTCATATGCAGAGGAAGCTGAACTTTTTAGAAGAAAAAGGAATCACAGTCCTAGTCAGGTTGTTCAAAATTTGTAGAAGTAAGAGAATGATACTTTAGAGATACTCTAAAAACATATAAAAATCCTATACAATGTTACTCTAAGTCAAGGTATTTTTAGTAAATGTGGGACCATGTTGAATAATGCAGTCTTTTGACACACTTTTTAAAAAACTTTGAAAACTGCCTTTGACCATTATAACATAACAGTATACTGTTTTCTCGTCTCCTTTACTTCCTCTGCCTGTGCTCCCTTTTGCTCTTGCTATTGTACTATAACTCTTTAGTATTCCATATCTGTCCTCGTGTAGCACCAGCTAGTCCTCTTAAATCTCCCTACAAGAATTCCCCCACCCGAAGCACTGACAGAAAGAAGGCAACTTCACCCTCCACTTCCAATGCCATGAAAGGAGCAGCTGCAGCTGAAGTTACTCAGGTGGGTTTCCAGTAGCTTTGATTTCACTTCTGGGTATGCTGATGTGGTTTCTGGTCATCATGTTTCCTTTTATATTCATGAAAATAAAGTGCTAACCCTTTTGTAAGAAATAGCAGTAAGAAAGTAAGCCTTGTTTTTGTGCTCCTGTTTAGCAGCATTTTAATATCTTCCTCCTGGAAATCAGTGTTGAGTTCTGGTATTTGGAACAGCAACACCTTTATTTTCAGCGAACTGAGATTTCTGGCACTGAGCTGCATTTCTAGACTTGCGTGTAACTTCTGGGAACAGGGATGACAAATAGGATCTCTACTGAGTATGACCAGTCTTACTGGTTAATTAGCAAGCTTCACATAATTCAGAAACTTGCCAAGTGGTAATGCCTCTGTTTTATACCAATTGCTTAACTCTTTCTGTGGACATTTTTAATGCCATTTGCTTAAAAGATTCATTATTGATCCAATGCAGTTTCCAGAAAAGCAAAGGCATATCATTCACCTTCACTGACTCTATACAATGTAAGGCATGTTTTAAAAAACATATATGCTAGGGCTGTAAAATTCACATAAGGTTCTGTGTCTTGTGATAGGTAATAGTAGGGGGATTCATGCCATCTAAATCAGCTACAAGTGAGAGGGCCAAAGCTGGGAGCTAAAGATAATATGTACTGCCTCTGTTAGTTGTGATTCAGTGTCACATCTAGCAGCATTTCTACAGGATGCCTGGGTGCACAACTGATCATGTCCAAGATACGTTACAGGAGCATATAGATGATTTTAAAAACTCCACCGAGTGCTGTCACCCTTTCCAAGAGCTCTTGGAGAGGGTGTGATGCGATGTTACTTACCTGCAACTTGTATACGGTCTCCATGCAAAACACTGGGGGAGTCCATGTAAAATAAAAAATTATTGCACCTCAGCTGTGAGCTGATGTTTAAAAAACTTTACCTTAAATGTATGTCATGCAAATCTGTTCATAATGCCATCTTGTTAATAAAACCATCAAATAGATTTTTGTACGGTTTGGTCCAAGTCATGGAAACTATAAAATGAACTGTGCTTCTAGACTGAGAAGATAAAGAAAGAGAAGCGACCTGCAACACCTGGTTCATCATCTGGCATGGGATCTCCTCTAAGAAGGTCTGATTCTCCTGCTGCCATGTCCAGAAGATCTGCATCACCTGCAACACCGAAGTATGCCTTTCTTATTAGCAGTGTAATATGCTGTGAGCATTTTAGGAGCAGACCTAGATTCTTGAGGGACTTTGCTTGAAGTGTTGTACAATATCTAGTTAATTTTAGTTATACAGATGGAGAGAGAGGGAAAGAGATCTGTAGATGAACATATATATAAGATTATGTTAGTGCTCACTAGTGACACTTCCTTTTCTCAGTCTTCTGAAATTATTGTGGTGCATTTCATAATTCATGTGAAATTTTATTTAACATTTATTTTTAAACATGATTTTGTTTTATTTGGTTTTGAAGGAACTCTGCTTAATGTGCAGAAATGCACAGAACATGGATACTACCTAGATATTCCAGCATTTAATATATGCATTTCCTATTGCTAGCATGACCATCTGGTTCCATAAATGTACTTAACTATGCATCATCTAAACCATCGGTTTTAATCTTTGCTTATTTGCAGACCTCTCTGGGTTTGTTGCTTCTTGTGCTTCTTTTTGTGTGGTTTGTTTTTTTTCTGTGTGGGTTTTGCTGTTTGTTTTTTTTGTATTTTGGTTTCAGGTGGTTTTGTTTTAATGCCGAGTTTGTGGACCTATAGCATATATGGGCGTACTAGCAATTGAGTGGCTTTTTTTAGTTGGCTTTTGCAGACACCCAAAACTGTAGTCCGTGTACCACAGCTTTCACAAGTCACAAATGTGTTTTCAGCTTTCTTAGAAGAGGATATTAAGTCTTGCTCAAATGCGGAAGTGTGCTAAAGTAGTCATGGTGTACAGTAGTTGTCTGATTTTTTTTGTTTGTTTGGTTTTGTTTTTTCCACTCCCCAGAGCCCTGTCCGTGGGTCCCACTTCTGTCTTGGAATTTATCTCCTTTTGTCTCATTTTTATTTTTTTTAAGTCTGAACCTGGCCATGTTCTGAGCTAGTCTTTGAGCACCTTTCTGACACATTTTTTCTGCTTCAAAAACTAGCTGGTGTTTTCTGTTTCAGCTCTGAGTGCATAGTCTTTTAACAGAGGATGATATTGTTTGTGAATCTGGTATCAGGCAAAATACAGGAAACCATCTGACTCTGGGCATTCTTTCTGGTTTAGACAACCCCTTGCATGCAACTGGGAAATTGCAGTTCTCGGTTCATAATATAAGCCTAAGAATTCTCAAATATATTTATATATAAATAATGTCATCAGGTTCTGAATTATGTAAATTCAGTAAAAAATAGAATAATATGGTATGTTAATGGCAGTCAGCTTCTTTTCCATTACAGTTTTGACCAGGGCTTTCCAAAATGTATAGAGAAAAGTTTGAGCTATAAAAGTGTCTTATTCTGTAAGTACTGATATTCCCTGTTCGGCACACATCTTTTGGTTCACTCAGCCAGTATAAAAGACATACCAAGAGAGATTCAGTTAAACAAAATGATTGGTGGAAAATGGATAACTGAGAGTGAATCAGTTTGTGATAGGCATACACTGAAAAAAGTTGTTGTAGCTCATCATAGAGATATCTGGGGGAGAATAGGAAAAGCTTTTGTGAAACAAATAGAAGTTTAGTGCTTCATGAAAGAAGCATGCCCAGTCTGAATTTGTAGCACTAATTTGCATAGAAGGTTAGGCAAAGGTGAAGACTCGTTTCCCAGAGGTACAAATTATGAGAACCTTTTTATGGTAGAATGTTTTCGTGCCTATAAGGAATATAAATTACTGTTTTTAGAGGAAGAAGCAGATGCTGCATGGAGGAATTAAGAAGCCTACTTGTGGGTTTCACTGTGATTGTGAGCCACGTTAGTTATCTTTGTTTCCTTCCTCCCTACCTCTCTTTCTCAAGAGAATCTGATTCTGACCACTGCTAGAAATGTATTACTGAGTATTTAATCTTAACATGGCCCAATTAGAACACCCTCCTTGACCTTAACAGAGATACAGTGGATAGAGTTTAAATCCATGTTTATTACTGATTGCAGAAAGACTGTTCTGCTTGAGCACTCTCGAAACTTCTCCTCAGAAATTGAAAATAAAATTTAAAAAGGCATTCTGACGACCATATTATATTACTGACATATTTCTTCATACAACTTGAATGCCAGCTGATGATCTGACTGGTCAATGGATTTAAATATAGTCAGTGAGGCTTTTGGAACCTTCCTTTAGATTGTTATAATCTTACTTCTTAATTTAAAATTAACTGTGGAACTTGCAGTTTTTAATGTGAGCGAATATGTAGACAAATGCTCGTTCTCCTTGCAAACCTGACAGTCTTTTACAAGTTTAATCTTTCTCCTTCCAGCACACCATATGGCCAGAAAAATACCCTGGAAGAAATAAGAACACATATTGTGTGGCATTAGTAGTTAGTGATCCTGTATAGCACCTTAACTTAAAAGCTGTTGAGGAAAGAATCAAGTACAGCCAGTGCTCAAAAGCTGTTGAGGAAAGAATCAAGTACAGCCAGTGCTTTAAATTATAATTGGCTGTATGACTTTTTCTTAAAAATACATGGCTTGATATTTCTTGGCATTGTTCTAGGCACTAGCTCTTCACAGTCGTCATATTTTGTGTTTTAGTTGCTTATCTTCTTTATATATTATTTCATTAATTATTAATTTGAAAACACTTTTTATCATGGTAAAGTAACTGAAACAGGATCAAACAAGGTAATAAAACTTCAACTAAAGAGAGACAGTGATTGATGTCAGGATAGATTTGCAGTAATACATCAATAAAATATAAGTGTTTGAAGGTACAAATTTTACTGAGAAATAAAAACAGATCAGCCCAAAAATACAATATCCAGAAAAAATGAGTGAACAAATATGAACCTAAAAAGGAGAAAAGAGTGGAAAAGTAGAAATATGATGAGCTATACTTAGAAGCAAGGAAGGAATTAAAAGCTTGATGATATTTGAAAAAGTGAATATATCAAGAAGTGTCACACAAGAAAGAAACCAAAAAATTCTTGCTTTGAATCCAGTGTTGATCAGCTGACAAAGATGAAAGTTAATGGATTAGAGAGCTGGGATAATTAAGAAATTATCTTTTATTTTTACAATTGCTATTGGATACTGATTGTATAAAGTGCTCCTGTTCTTCAGATCTTTCACAAGATCAATAATACCATATTTTGGTAATTTTTTTTCTGATGCTTCATCTTCAAATATCTATATATTAATCAGATTATTCTTGCAGTATCCCTCAGAGAATAGGTAAGTGTCCTGTCTTATAGATCAGCAAAGCAATAAAGCCTGTGTCCTTCACAGGTCTTTGGGTGATTTCCCTTTGAAATCAATGGGACATGACTGAATCAAGGAAGTAGGATTTAGTCTTAAGTGTCTTCAGATAAGCTATAGTATAAGCCAGTGAATAAAAATAGAATATTCAGTGTTACGCTTTTTTGCCAAAGCATTACCTCACATGAGAAGGAGAAAGGGGCAAAAAATTACTTATTAGAAAGGTGTCTACATGTGGTGAATTCCTCACAGAAGTAGCTGCTATGTTCTGCAGTGACCTAGTTTTAGATTTTTATTTAGATTATTATTTGATACGTGCTGCATTTACTACTCTTGATCTTTGTTTTGCCCTGGAGAGGTAAAAACAATGGGGAGAATATTGGATCAAGACTGTCTTGATTTTTTTTTCAGCAGTTAGCCAGAGAATGGGACAATTGAAGATTTTGAAAACATCCCTAATAATGCAGCTATCAAAATAACTAACCTATAGACCTATGCTGAGTTTGTGCTGTTAGGAAGTGTAAGAGGAAAATTAGTCTATTCCTGGCTAGAAAGGATCAAAACTAAAAGTAAAAGAAAACTGCTTTTGAGAAAATACTACAGATAGCAGAGCAGGAGACCCAGTACCAGTACCCAATGCCCAGTACCCCAGTAGAGAACCCAGGAACAGCTTTTGACCAGAGGAGTCTCAGAAGGCAGCATTGAGAACATACTAGTGCTTGGTGTGGTTTTAGCAGAGCTTTTCTTGAATTAAGAGGGAGGGAAAAAATATGCAGCTCTGGCATTGCTGCAGATTTCTGATTTACAGTCAGCCTTCTGAACTGCTGTAACCAGTGGCCTGTCACGTACCTGGCTTTTCAAGACAGCATGCTGTTCTCTCCCTTGCTGTTTGTGGACAAAATAGGATGTGACCTCTGACTCATATACTACATGTACTTTATTTTCTCTGCTTAGCAAAAGTAAGTTCAGACCCCTTCTTGTGCTCTTCCCGAGATGTTCTTTTGCATCTTTCTTTTAGTTAAGTAAGAACCCTTGTGATTTAAGGACCAGTTGGTCCTCAGACCCGATAGAGGTTCTTTGAAATGCATATAGAGTTCATGATGAGAATGGCTTCTTATAAGCTGCTGCCCCCCTGTCAACTTAGGGCACTTAGGTGAGAAAACTAAGACCTCCTGGAGGGAGGAAGATGTTTCCTGTGTTTGTGTTCTCCTGTAAAATCCAGCAACTGAGATAAGTGAACTTTCAGGCAACTAACATGCTGCCACTTCTTGGGCTTTGGCAATCTGTCATCTTAATTCTCTCTTTTCCTCATCAGCACACTTCTGTGTTCCCACATTCTTACAAGGGTTTCATAGCATCCCTTTCCTTTTCTCCCAAGGCAAAAATGAAACAATTTTTAAACCTAAGCAGACTATGCAAGTGTGTATTCATTTTCCCTTAATAATCCTGGTTTTCTGTCTTCACAATTAAGTTTTGCCCTTTCTGGTGAAAAGTTGCATCATTTAAATACTACCAGGAGGAGTGTTTTTTCTAGTAACAATTCCACCTGTGTTAAAGACGCTGTGTTGACAATATGTTTTAAATACAAAAGGGAAAACAGTGTTCATTTAATTTCTAGTCCAACAGGTAAGTTGTACAGCCAGTCTGCTCTAATTCCTATTCAGTGCAAGATGCGTAACTCTCATGACTAGACTTCTTCCTACCCACCTCTTTAATGTGATTGTCATGTCTTTATTAGAGAACAATTACTTCTGTGCTAATACTGAAAATGACTCAGCCTTAGTTATTAGCCTCTTTTGCTCCTCTTGTCACAACAAGTTAAATAAAAAGCGTTGCAAGGGATGTGTGGTAAAGTTGGAAATACAAACCAAAGACAGTAAGAAGGGACTATGTTTTGAAGAAGTGTCAGATTAGTAAGAAAAAAGTTGATTTTTATTTACACGTTATATTTTTATGAAATGCAGTTGGAAATTATTGTAATGGTGAAGCACAAACAAGACCTACGTATGCAGGTGGGGCCTTAAAATCTCTGCCTTTAGTTTTTGAAGGGCCTGGGAATCCAACTGTATTCTAAAGAGAAAACTAAAGACAGTGCTGAAACCACATTTGTTCAACACCAACCAATCTCACTGACTTCTCCCATTGCTGTTTTCTGCAGGACCTGGGGACAGACTTGCCTGTCCACATCTTCCAAGGCCTGTTTCTGTCAGGCTGCCCTGCAAGGCAGGGTGAGCCAGAAGCCAAGGGTGGCAGCAGGGCAGACAAGGACAGGAACCTCACCCAGAGGACCCTGTCCCACAGCAGAGAAAAGAAGTGACCAGGGCAGGTCTGCTGATGGTGACTAGGGTCAGACAAGAGTCCAGTGATAGTCAGCAAAGCCCTTACTGAGGCAGATCCAAGAGCAGGGCAGGATCAGCAGGTTAAGAGGCCAGGAACAGGCTTACCTACGGTTTAGCTCAGGCAAGGACCAAAGGCGAAGGCCTGAGCTGAAGGAGGCTCCTAGGCCTGTAGGCAGAGGATACCTGAGCTGAACTTCAAGTTTACTTGAGTGCTACTGTTCTACCAGCCCAAGGGCTTTTGGAGTCTGATGGCTCTTCAGTGGGAGTAAGAAAGTACCGGTGGTGCAATACTCTGCAGTCTTCCTGCCCACAAACCACCAGCTCTGAATGAGCTTCCGATATTCTGGTATTCTCAGCCTCTTTCAAATGGAGCATAATATGGTAGCAAATAACCCTTTCTTCTCCTGAATTCATGAATTTCTGTGGAGTTGAAAGGCATTTAAGTTTTATTGTCTACTCTGTGATGCAAATGTTGTTCAGGTTAGAATAGTCTCTGGCCGTACAATGCTATAATTAGAGCTGTACAAAACTTGCCACTCCAGTCCATTAATTTTTAGCCATTGTCCATGTTTTTCATGCCTGTGGTCTGCCAGAATGAGTTATAGTATATGAAACTCCATATTGTGTAGATGAAACAAGAAACAGCCTCAAGCTGCACCAGGGGAGGTACAGATTGGATATTAGGAAATATTTATTTAACAGAAGGGTGCTCAGGCATTGGAACAGGCTGCCCAGGGAAGTGGTGGAATCACCATCCCTGAAAAGCGTTCAGAAACTATAGATGAGGCCCTCAGTGATATGGTTTAGTGGTGGCCTTTGGCAGTCCTGGGCTAACGGCTGGACTTGATGGATTGTAAAGATCTTTTCCAACCTAGTTGATTATGTGATTCTATGCAAAAAGTGATAAGGGGTAATACATTCATATCATAATTGCATATCCATAAGGAAACTTAAAGCTGCATGTGTAACGTTCACTTTAATGTGGGATTATTTATTCTAATGTGACTCACATAAATCATTCTTTTAAGATTGTAATCTCTTTCATTCCATACTACTTATTGCACAGGCTGGCCTTTCTTAATGTTACAAGTATTTAGTGCTCGTTACTGGTGTTACATAAATAATAAATGGTGTTTGGGTGTAGTTTTATGTTTCCTGGTAATCTGTTCTCTTTAATGTATGTCTGTTTTCAGTGAATATCAAATATCTTTGCCCTTCTGCTTTCCCAGGCCTGTCTTCAGGGTTGTTATTTCACCTGTGGTGTGCACCAGCCAAATGAGCAATCAGCTGCATTGTTGCTGTGCATTGCTATCATTACAAGTGCAGCCCTGTAGAAGGTTGCAGGGGCTGATTTTTGAGCATTGAGCCTGTGGTGTTGGTGCTGATGAAAGCACTAACTGAAACAGTTCTGTCTCCTTTTGTGGTACCCAGCTTTACCTTTGTACACAGTAGTATTTGGTGCTGTTTTGGAAAACCAGATACTATTAGGAAAAGACTGTGCTTGACAAAATTGTAGTCAGATGAAAGCAGTACGTTGCAACTCATCATAATTTCTGCATACAGAAAGCAGCCATAACTTTGCTTTAAATGTTGAGAAGGGCTGTTGAATACAATAATATTGACAAAATTGTTATGAAATGGCTGTTGCTAAAATAACTGGTTTAAGTAGTTTATGATTTCATATCTCTTGCCTACAACTTGGACAGCAGCATTAGACTTTTAAAATGAGAATTCTCTGTAATCATTTGCACTTGCATGCCAGTTCCCTCCATTTCAGGTTTCAATTGCTTGCGTCCAGATAATTTCTATGCAGTGTTGTGCAAAACAACTGATACTTCTATGTAGCCAAAGACAAGAGAGAGGAAAGGTACATGTAATGATGGAGTTTGATTCCTAGCTGTGTAAAATATGGCCTCCTTTGATTTTTGTTTTCCCTCATCAGGACAGTTGCAAAGACTTATCCTCAGTCTCCTAAAAACACTAAACAATATCCAGCTTCTCCTGTGAAGCATCGTGCAACTTCTAATCTCAACCAGGAAACTCCTAAAAAGAAAGTAGACAAGGAGAAAGAAAATGTCAGTCATCCAAAATCCCCAGGAGCACATACTGATGAGGCAGGCCAGATGGCTTCTGAGAAACATGTCCCTTCTGCAGGAAAGACTGAAAATGTTGAAGGTGAGTCCTACCGCTAGAATATATTGCAAGGTATCATGGGTCTGTGAGGCTCTTAAACAGTGATGACATGTTCCTTTCATGAAGCTGCTCAGTCATAGGGTCATGAGAGTGTGTAAAAGTAGATACTGTAACCAGTAAATGGATAGTTTTCACCAGGGTTACCCATGCATGAAAAACTTGTTGTTAATGAGGATGTGAAAATGCTGAAATCCAGGGATGCCCTTACCTATCCCATGGTTGCTGAGGTGTGTGCTTTGGAATGCTAGGGTGTCATACTAGCGTGAACCAGGCCCATTTCAGCATCTGTGTGAATGTGGAAGTTCTGGGCACTCTCTTTGTTCCCTGCCTAACTTCCCACCCTTGGTTGTCATCTCTTAGGGAAGATCACGGTAGGAACAACTGATGCAGAAGAAGCAGCAAAAATTCTAGCTGAAAAAAGACGACAGGCCCGCCTGCAAAAAGAGCGAGAAGAAAGAGAGAGACAGGAGAGAGAAGAACGGGAGAGGTATCTCTATTGATTTGTGAAAATTATTATCTAATAATTTAACCTGTATCACTGAAGATGCTTGAAACTGTGGTGGTTTTAGAATCAATGTGGGAGTTCGCATGCAAGTGTTCATGTCTTTCAACTCAGACTTGTAATTCATTAGCGTCTTTTGCAGTCTTTATGACTAGTGAAGTTAGAAAATAATTTGGCCTCTTTAAGAAGCCTGAATAAACTATTACTCATCCAAATACTTCACCAATGTCTACGCTGCAGTGTGGACATTGTATCATTCAACAAATCAACCTGCTCAACTCTGATGTAGGCAGTGTTGAAGGCTTTTAGCATGGGCATAATGAAGATTGCTGTGTCTAAGTAGTGAAATCCTGTCTCTGTTCTGGGAGCAAGCTTTTAGGTTGCTTTCCACATGGGATACTGGTTGCAAGTGTCAGCAGATCATGCCCTTCCTTCAAGTCCCTAATGTAAATCACTAACTGCATGTCTAAATTCAACTTTGTCTGTCCCTATTGAAAACATGGGGGCAGGGGATCACCAGTGCCTGCAGGTTTGGCACTGAATCCCTGATATGCAAGGATAAGAATGATCACTTGTCAAAACAGCTCTGGCATGTGGTGACAAAGGAGCATGATGTCCCCCCGTGGGACAGGGAACAATATAGGTAGAATTTAGACCCACTCTTCCTAATGTACCACTTTGTTTTGTGGACTTGGTTTTCTGCTACTCATCCAGTCTGTTAATCTTCAACTGAAACAAAGGAAAAAAGTACATGCTTATCTTACAGATACCTGCATTCTGGGTGTGAAGCACAGGGAAAGAGGGATGGTTTCATTATTGAAACTTGCTTTTATTCTTTAAGATCTAATTCAAACTAGAATGGAAATGTTTTCTTTTTCTTTGGTCACACCTGTTTTTTTCAGGGAAATTATAATTTTTATGAAATATTTTAGGCAGTGAAAATAAGATTGGAATAGAAGCTTGATAGCAACCTGAATTCTGAGTATGTGTTCAACCTCCTTGCTGTATCTTGACGTTTTTCATGAAAATGTGTGCTGATGCATATACTGTCAGTTCCTGCTGATTGTGTGCCATACATGCAATAGAATTCGTGCTAAACAAGATTTTGCCTTTTAAACATGCTGTTACATTTTTTGCAGGCTTGAAAGAGAAGAACAGAAAAGAAAGGCAGAAGAAGAAAGACTTCGTCTAGAGGAAGAAGCTCGTAAGAAGGAAGAGGAAAGAAAATGTGAGGAAGAAGCAGCTAGGAAAAAGGCAGAAGAGGAAGCCAGAAAAAGAGCTGAGGAAGAACAAATGCTAAAGGAAAGGCAAGAAAAAGAGCTCCAGGCCAAACTTGAGAAACAGGTACCATCTCAAACACAAACATGAAACTTTATATGTATGTATGTATGTATGTGTATATATATATGTATGTATGTATGTGTATATGTATGTATGTATGTGTATATATATGTATGTATGTGTATATATATGTATGTATGTATATATACATGTATTTATATATACACATACTTTATAGCATCTGGTAATATGCCTGAAATAAATAATGGCCCTATCATATTTTACACATTTTTATTAGAGGGAAGAAGCAGAAATCAAAGCCCGTGAGGCAGCTGAGCAGCTTCGTCTTGAAAGGGAGCAAATCATGCAGCAAATTGAGCAAGAAAGGCTGGAGCGGAAGAAGGTAGATACTTGCTTCTTAAGATAATTATTTCATTTCTTGTTTAAATACATAACCCAGAAAGTACCCAATAGTTTCTAGAAATAATAATCTGGATGGATGTTTATGCGTAACTTAGTATTTGCTACTTGCATGTTAGGGGAACATGGACATAAAGATTTGTTACAAAGTGGAGTTGCCTGAGGCAAATGGTTTTCTACTAGGTACTGAACAAACACAGAATTAGCCTTTACCCACAAAGTTAAATGCCAGAGACAAACAGAGAATGGCATGCCAAGGCAAACCTCAATTGCCGCCCAACCCAGAACATCACAGACTATTGAGGAACATAACTTTGCTTTAAAACTTACTCAACAAAAGCTCCCTGTCATTAATGGAGAAAGTTAATGTGATTAACAAACTGGTTTTCTCCCACCTGGCTTGTCTCTAATTGCATTATGCAGAGGCAGCAGGGCAGTCTGGCCACCACCTCACGAAGAAATGGCTGGAGCTGCATAGATTAGCTTTATCTATAGCTCTGCCAGAAAAGAGTGAACAGCTGCAGAACCTCTGTCTGGTTATAAGAAAGTTGTCTTCCCATATGTTATTCCAATATATTTTGTATTCCAGCTGTTTGCAGCTGAGCTGAAGGCATGTTGCAGTTGCAGATTAGCATACCAAACCGAAATGTTTAAATCTGAAATAGTTTCCTTTCACAGTAGTGCAAAGAGACAAGATTTGTTGGGAAGGTTTTTCATTTTTAAATGAACGAAGAAGAAAAAAAAAAAGTAGTATTTTAGGGTAACGCCTTCTGCATTTCCAGCAAGAATAATGTCAGGTATTTCATTTTACTCTTCCATTCCAAGGCACCTAACTGTTTTTTAAAGGAACTGTTTGGAAAAACAACCAGATGAAAATTATAGCTGCTGGTTTTAAATAAATGTCTTGTTCCAGATCTGAGCACAACTTGTAACTGCAAGCACCTGGTATTAAAATGTTTGTCTCTAAATTGCATCTACTGAGAAAGTCATGTTCTGTGAGATCTGAGATATGAAAGCCAGCTCCCAGGTGCTTTCTACCTTTTGTTTTCTGTTTCTTATTTATTCTCACTTTTTCAAGATAGGCAGGGATGAGGTCATGGCAATAGAAAAAAGGTTTTCTTTTTCTTTTTTTTTTTTTTTCTCCATTATCAGTCTCTGGCATTCTCTGCCTTCTCATTCTCCAATTTATTCTGATTTCTAGAGAATAGATGAAATAATGAAGAGAACAAGGAGGAGTGAAGCACCAGAAATAAAGGTATGAAACACTGTGTGTTTGCAGGTTTCTTTTGGTTTATTACCAATATGTAAAAATTAAACTCTAGAGTGTTCCTGTGTTACTAGGTGTAGAGTGTAGGTAAGTACACCTAAATTTTAGGTGCATTTCAAACAGAATGACTGTGTCCCAGTAGCTGTGTCACAGTTATTTTGGGCTGCTGCTACAGAAACAGCTTTATGCAACTGTTACAGACTTACCTTCCTCACTGTTAGAAAGGTGTTAAGAGCTCATTCCTGGATGTTGGAGCTGTAATTTTGCTGTTCTGATGCATATTCTCCTTCTTTGTACCAGCCAATGGATTAGTTACTGAGCTATCATGTTAAATCTGCCAGCAGTGTAGGATTGAGAACGAGGCAATTGTGTCCAGCTTGAAAGTGATGGTCAGGTTTTCAACTAAGGAAACTGTTTATTTGGTTACTTTCAGACAATGTTTCTTTTTGATGTTAAAAATAAATAAATAAAATCCTATGCCTAATTAAGAAGGAAAAAGAAAATCGTCTCTTGCTGTCAGTGACATTTAACCACCCTGTGGCCCTGGGCAGTCTCACAGGTTGTGAATCCAGTCAGTTCTATGAAGGTTAGTCCTTCATCTTTCATCCAGTTGACTCATTGCTTGATTACAGAAGGAAGAGACAAAACAGGAGGTACCATCAACTTTGAATGTGGAAAGGCAACCAAAGGCCCTTGTTCTCAACCAGCCAGGTGAAAATTGCCATGTTTTTTGACCTGTTTTCACAGTTAGTTGTCTTCAGAGTTTTGTAATCTCAGGCAGAGCACTGTGTCTTATTGCAGATTCTTTGCTTTCATTTTGAAAAGAACAACTACTTTTGCATTCGTGACAAATGTTAGAAAATAAAGACTTTGTTTTGCCACTTAAGCAGAAGAAAGTTTCTTCTCCATTTTAGTACTTGACATCGCACTTCTGTAAATGAGAAGTTCCAGTTTGCCAATAGGTTTGGTTGCTGCAATCTACCTTCATGTTTTGTAGGTAGAAAATATTTGCACACAGCCAAGCTTGAAAGCTTTTTATAGCATTGCTGTAAGTCTTACATTTAATTTGACTTTACAAAATTAACATATGTATTCAAAGAATTATTAAATAAAATATACAAATTTGGCATTTATCTATATTTTGTTTGCTTCCCTAGACAAAGTTTTTTAATATATGATATAAGAGATAAAACATTCTCTTCCTATCCACTCAAATATAAATTGAGTGGAAAAGAGGATATGATCATATGATCATATCATATGATGAGCCGTAGATGAATCCTGCTGCATTGTCAGTCGTTCTTTCTACTTGATCTGTAACTTAAAAGCATTTGTGATTTGTTTTTTAACTATTTACATAAAGAAGTTGCTCCTGTCACAATTTCTAACCTTCTTTTATAGAGATCAATGGATTGGCAACCTGCCTGAAAAATAAAAGTTTAGAAAGTGCTGTCCCTGTAATCCCTTCCCAAGATGTAGTTGCTAATGGATTAAAGTCAGCCCCAGGACTTACTCAGCTGGAAGCTGTTAACGGGAAGTCTAACAGCATGGAAGATTCAATGGATGAGGTTCAGTCCATGGATGTGAGGTACGGATCACGTCTACCAATACAAATCATGGAATTCATGTTAGACATGTACAAAGTTTTCTGTTTCATTTGTTAATACTTTACTGCTTTACTTCTCACCTGCCTCACAGTGTGGCAGTCAGGTGTCCACTGTGTTATACTCCATTCTTGTCAGGATGTGAATGAGTCAACAGAACCTCATTTCACTCATGTATTTGGTGCAGGGTGGGAGGCTCTGAAATCCTTCTGTAGTCCTTCCTTACAGATTCCATACAAATTTGCCCAGACCTCTCAGATTGTTCTGTGATAGTGTTCTGATAATCACCATTTGCTTACTTCTCTCAAGACTGCATAGCTGCAATTCGCAAACTTTTTTCCCTCCATACAAACAGAATAACGAAAATATGAATTTAAAATTTTAAGTCCTTAACTGGAACAGATGTACAGAAATCAATAAATAACTTTGTGTGTATTAAATACTGTTGGATTTCGATGGAAGAACTTGCAGGAAAGAAGGAAGTTGATAATTTAAGGCTGCAATAAGAAAGTTAGCTCTGAATTTTAAATATTTATATGTTTTTTCCTTAATCAGTAAGCTGACTGAACCTCTCATAGTGTTTCAGTATTTCCAGTAAATATGCATAAATACATAAGAAATGCCCTACTGACACACTCCAGAAGTCTGTATAGCCCTTTATTTGGTCTTAGAGAGTATCAGTAGGAAAAACTAGTTGGGGACACCACCTGAGCCCACCACTTCTGCAATCCACGACCACACAGAAGTGTTATATTAGGGATGTTGGAGCGTACAGCTCTGAGTTGGCCACTGATGGCTGTGTTGCCCACGTTTATCCAACTCCTTTTCAACCTGCTGATAATGTTTGCATCCAGGACTTCATCTGGCAACAAGTTGACTCCCACAGCTACCACAAACTGTAATCTTTAAGGAATATAGATTAAGAATGGCCTTCCATCCTAAACAGGGCAACTTCTTTTTGTTTGGGCAGGAATGTATTCTAGGTAAAGGCTTATTGCAGCCGACCTTAAAATAAGTGGTAGTTTTTGAACAGTCAGAAGATCGGTTTGATAGTTGCTCAGTGAAAAGTTGCACACCTCTTACTCTCCATCTTCCTTTCATTTATCTCCTGTATAGCCCAGTTTCAAAAGAAGAACTAATCTCTATCCCTGAATATTCACCCATGAATGAACTCATGCCTGGTGTTTCTTTGGATGAGAATGGAACAAGTAATGCCAAAGCTCTTGAAGATCTCTTGGATTTCACAGGCCAAGCTACGTACTCCAAGATGTCCAGTGATACCATTAGCCTAGATGACTGTAACAAAAACTTGATTGAGGGATTTAACAGTCCAGGACAGGAAAATACACTTAATTCTATCTGTTGACAACCTCACTTTTCAGCAGAACAGATAAAGGTACAGTATTGTGATAAGTATCTTAGATGTGATAAATTGCTGTGATTACTTGCAAGCTTCCCAGAAAAATATAGGAGTTGTAAACAGCATATGTGGAGAGAGAAAGAAAGCTGGTCTCCTAGATATTTAATTGCAGTGTAATCTTTCGTATTTGCAGCTCTCTGTAAACTGGCATCATATGCAAACTGAGCATATTGTAGCAACCAAAAGTGTCTGGTAAATGGAAACATTTCCTTTATGCGTTCATAATGTAGTGAGAAGAGTTGGGTTTTTTCTTTATTAATAAGAAAAGTAAGTCTTTGGAGCCTGTTTGCATGAAGAAAACGATTAGAAGTGGGGCCAGCCTCGAAAATGGTAGTTATTGTTCCTGCTTACTCTTTTCTGCTCCCGTAAATAGTTACTGCATGGTGTAGAATCACTTTTCCTGGAAAGCCTGCATAGTAAAATAGCATAGTAGGCTTCGGTGACACCTTACTATGTTTTTTGAGAGAGCGTATTCTAAATTACAAAACTGAGGTCCTTAACTTGCACAGCTGACTTCATATTCTTCTCTTTTTTTTAATTGACAGAGGTAGCGATTTGTGGAGGAGCTATATCCCAGTGATGCTACTGGAAGTAAAATATGAGCTTGTCACTTGAAAGAGCTTCTGCAGTCCTTGAGCACTGGATTTCAGATAATCAGAGCTGACTACAACTGTGTCTTCCCAGGGAATATGTTGAATAACTGGCTGCTTTTGGTAGAAACCAGTGATCTAGAGGCGTGATGGTTTCAGGGAAGACTCGAGTGTGCATTAGAATTTGAGCTTTAGCTGCTAATAAAGCACTTACTACTTCTTTTAATTTAAAACTCATCTCAACACCTCACTGTGACACCTGTGCATTTTATTTTTGAAATAGTTTTTCCCTCAGCTTTATCATTCATTCATTTAGATGTCTTTTTCTTGTAAATAATGATGAGTTTTGCCCACAGTGCATTGAAATGAAATAATATACTGGACATTAGTTTTGTGCCTATCTTTTTTTTGTCTTTAATAAGGAGTTATTGGCAACTCTTATGCAGGTGTATAATTCAAAACTATGCCCAAAGAGGCTTAAGATATACAACTTCTGGAATCAGAAGAACATTTTCACTGACTGTGGAGTGTGGGAGCTATCCTGTTATGACTGACACTTTTAGTCACTAGTAGCACTTACTGGTTAATACTAATTATTTCAGGAGTGACTGTCAACTATGTGTTTAAAAATATACTTGTGTAACACCTGTAAACAATGTAGGCAAAACGCCTGGTGTAATCCTTTAATATATATATCTCTCTATATATATAGTATAGCTGTAGTAGATCCAAGTGATGAGTGGTCAGGGGGCTGAGATTATATGTTAATCTTTGAAGATGCAGACACTTGATTAATACCAGCAGGCTTTCTATCATGTGGGGAAGTATTTTGTCTTCCTGTAGGCTCTACAAAACAAGATTCAGACAGCAGCAAAACAACATCTGAATGTTGCAGCAGAAATCCAAAGGCCAAGGCATACATGGGGAACACTTGTAGCCCCCTTATTCTCTAAGCATCTGTATGGAAGAAGTCACATTGAGATGTATAATGTCTAGCCATTATGTGCCATACAGTACTAACTTTATTTCTGCGGGTGAACTACGATAATTTCATGCTGGATCTTGTGCTGCTTTGAGAACACTTTTGCCCAATTCCATATAAAAATAAACTATAAATAGAGCTCTCTTTGGACACTAACACAAAAGAGGTGAAAACCTGGGGGGTGGGTTTCTTTTTTGCTTTTTTCTCCACTAGTAAGGGAGTTCACAGTATAGCTTGAGCTCAGTTTTGTATCCCCATTCTTGTGCTCTTTAAAGCCAGCAACGGGAAAGAAACCAATGACATCATGTGTGATGTGTAAAGAAATCATACCTACAGCAATCCAGCTCTGTTTATGTTGGTGTACTTCAGAGAAATACTTTCTTTTGACTGTACAGTAAGCTGTAGCATGGTACTGTGTCTTCCAAATTAGCCCTTCATCTATTCTCTAAATAGTAAACAAACAAAACCAGTTTGTTTTGCTGTGATACATTTTGTTTGACGAATGTCATATTTTATTATGGTGTCATTGTATAACCTGTAGATTTCTGTATTTGCATGACCTGTATAGCATGTATAAAGGTGAAATACATTTTCATTTATGAATCTAACTTGTTTCTTTGTGCTTTTTACTCCTAGCAAAAATATGACTAATTTAAAAACACATGTATGTTAATTTATTCTGAGGTGTCCTCTGAAGGAGGGTGTAATACCGAATGAAGGAGCAGTTGTCAGAGCCTCAGAATGTTTCACTATTGTTTCCTTTGCCATATATTAATTTGTTTTCTGAGGTCTTGCCGATACACTGAGGAAATGCAGAATGGTGGTGGTGTGGTTTAAGCCCAGCCAGCAACCCAGAAACCATGCAGCCACTGGCTTACTCCCCCCTCTTCCTCCCCCTGCTCCCGGAGGGACGGGGAGGAGAATCGAAAGAACTTAACTCCCATGGGCTGAGATAAGAACAGTCCAGTAACTAAGGTATAACACAAATCACTACTGCTGCTACCACCAATAATAATAATGATAAGGGAAATAACAAGGGAAGAGAATACAACCACTCAGCACCCGCTGACCAATACCCAGCCCAACCCGAGGAGTGATCTAGCCCTTTGGGGTAACTGCCCCCAGTTTATATACTGGACATGACGTGCTGTGGTATGGAATGCCTCTTTGGCTAGTTTGGGTCAGGTTTCTGTCTCTGCTTCCTCCAGCTTCCCCTCCTCCCAGCCAGAGCATGAGACTCAGAAAGTCCTTGGTCAGAGTAAACATTACTGAGCAGCAACTAAAAACATCGGTGTTATCAGTGCTGTTCCCAGGCTGAAAGTCAAAAACACAGCACTGCAGCAGCTACTAAGAAGGAGAAAAATGACTGCTACTGCTGAACCCAGGACAGGTGGCAGAAGAACCTTAATGAGGGCTTTTAGGCTGTAGCATCTGACAGTATACAAGCCAGTTTGCAGCCCCTGCTTCAGCTCTCTGGGGTATTACTTGGCAAAGAAAACAGGGAAAAGAGAACTTGGGAGCTGTGGTCAATAGGCACTGTTGTGTTCAGTGTGCAAGAGTGTTCCATAAGGGTTCCCATGATATAAGTGCTAAACTTTGCTTCAAGCTCCATGCATGTGCTGCTGCTTAGGAAGAGGTCAGCCTGGAGCTGCTGTTATTTTTTGAGTGAAACACTGGGGGAAAATGTTCTACAATTACTATTTTTTAATTTATTTTTTTTAATAATATCTGTCAAAAATGAGATCTACTTTTATTGTGAGGTATATTAATACTTTCCGTGGGGACAGTTCATCTCACTAATGCTTTATTCTCAATAACTTATGTAACTATAAGTAAGTTTCTAATACATCAATAATACCTGTGAGGTAACTGATCATTGCAGTAGCTCTCTAGTTAGGTTCAGCATCACTTTCTGTGGTGTTGCCCCACACCCAAAAGTTGTCTCGGGCCTTAGCAAAGGCCTGGAGCAGACCTCCTGGTTCCCTGGCGAGTTAATTTCAAACCAAAATAGTATCAGTGAGGGGTGGATCTGGAACCCGAGGCTGCATTTTCATCTAGCAATAAAAAGCTAGAAGGGTGGGGAAAATCATCCTCTCTCCTGTAATTGTACAAATTACATGTGTGCAGAAAACAATAGAAATAGCAGAGATAGCTGCTCAGGCTGGTGGGGTGGGGATCTTCCCTCTGCCACCTCTCACACAGAAGCTTTCACTGCTTCCTAGCCTCACCAGCATATACAACTCAGGCACTCCTGCCACCACCCTGCTTGTATTTCAGGTATTGGCAGTGGGGCATTTGGGCTAGTTTTGGCTGGGGCAGAGTTGATTTTCTTCATGGCAGCCAGTATGGGGCTGTTTTGGATTTGTGCTGGAAACCATGTTGGTAACTCAGGTATGTTCTAGCTATTGCTGAGCAGTGCTTACACAGAGACCATTTCTGGTCTTGCTCCTACAGGGCCTTTTCTGCTCCTCACACCATCCCACCAGGCTGGGGGTGCACAAGGAGCTGGGAGGGGACACAGCTGGGACAGCTGGCCCCAAGCAACCAAAGGGATAGTCCATGCTGTATGGAGTCATGCTTGGCATATAAAGCTGGGGGAAGGAGTATAGAGGGAGGACATTCAGAGTGATGGTGTTTATCTTCTGAAGTCACCATTGCCGTGATGGAGCTCTGCTTTCCAGGGCATGTCTGAACACCTGCCTGACCATGGGATGTGCTGGATGAATTCCTCGTTTTGCTTTGTTTGCATATGCGGCTTTTGTTTTACCTGTTAAAGTGTCTTTATCTCAACCCATGAGTTTTCTCACTTCTACTCCTCAAATTCCCCCCCCCAACCCACCAGGAGAGAGTGAGCAAGTGGCTGCGTGGGGCTTAGTGCTGGCTGGGGTTAAACCATGACATAGCTCTTTCACTGCTCTACAACCCCATGTGCCTGAGGTAGTGCAGGGGACTTCAGCATCAGTCACAGCTGGTCAGAGAAGCATGGGGTCCCAGGACACCTGCTGGGCTTCAGTGCTGCAAAGCAGCCTGGAAACCCTAGTAGACAGCAGACATCCTTCACATAAAAGTTTAAACTGTAGTCCCTTGCCTGTATTAAAATGTAAGTGGGTTAATATTCAAGAGCTGAAGACTGTTTACTCTGTGAGGTCTATTTCTTGTTTGCTCTAAGCCACAGCCCATACCTTGCACAACAAGGAGACTGTCCTGTAAATGGCACAAACGAATCAGTGAGCATAAGCTGCTGGTCCTCCTGCTTTAGCAACCTGTGGGACTTCTTCCTTACTCCTTCCCATGCCCTCCCTATACAAGAAAAAGGTAGGGACTGAAAGCTACTCTTTCTTTGCTCTCATTTTAGAATAATGTCTTTCAAGCTATTGGTTGCCTTGAAAAACAACATGGGAGAGTGGTTGTTTACCTGTGCTACCTGTGTGCACAAGTATACATAAGTGTCAGCTACCTGATGTTTGGGGTGTTGGTTTTCAGTATCAATACTAGATTCTGAAAACTGGGGGGGGGGGGGGGGGGGGGGTTACTATGCTAAAACCTGGAATATACAATGTATGTTATAACTGAATACAATTATCTCTGTCTTTTCATTCTAATCTGAACAAAACAGGTTTAAAATTCATTTTATCTGTGCAGAATACATACACTTACAGATACAGAAAATGTAAGCTATTCAGCTGCATTTTTGTTATTGCTATTAGTGGCAATAATATCAGTCCAGAAGGCTGCAAGTCATAATGTTTGTCTCTTCCCCCACTTTTTTTCTCCCATCATTTCTCTTATCCTTATGGTCTCCTACAGCTGAAGAGTAGATGATGCTGTTCACCCAGCTGGCCAATTTAACTTGTCTGTTGAAGCAACCTGTTAAGTGTAAAAGCCCTTCAAATTGCAGGCAGAAACACTAAGAGAAAGGATGTTTAAGCTTTTAAAATAATTACATGAAGTATAAGAAAATGGTTTCTTGACCCCCAGGATAGTTTTTGACTTGTTTTCTTCTCAGTTGGCTTGTTTGTTCTCCAGTCTGTGTATGCTTTATAGCATTTCTAATGATTCAAGACTAAGGTTGTGATGTTTTTTATACTGGGTTTGATGACTACCTGAGGCCTGCAATTTTCAGGATCAGAACAAACGCTCTGGAAGCTAGTGCGTGATGTTCGGTTGGGAGCTTTACAGAAATAGATGTGTATCCCTGTGTATCCCTGCTGAAATCAAGCCTTAATGATTCCCAGAAAAAAAAAGAAAAACAACATACAGGAGAGATTGAATGAATTGAAGGAAATGGTAAGTAATGTGCTGCATGCTTTGTGAAGTCCTTGCTCTGAGTTTTTTAAGTAGTTGCATTAATAGCCCAAACCTGCAGCTTTGTATTGTCACTCATATCTTCTTGCTGTGTCTAAAAAGAATAACTTGATGTCAATGGCAGATGTAGGTGATTGATGTTGTATGGGATTGGACCCAAGAACATAAAATTACATAGCTGGAGAGAAAAATAATGGGTGTGAGAGATGTTCACAGCCAGGGAAATTGCTCTGATGGTATTTCCTCATTTTTTCTAGAAATAACAGCCACTCTCGCCAAACTTAATACATGAGCAGCACAGTAAGCAGGATCAGGGCTAATGTCTGTAGCCCGACATTAACATTATGCTCACACATCCCTTTTCAGAGTAACTTCTCTCTTTTAAAATACAGATGGCAACACTGTCTGAATACTATTATTAGCATCTTATGTATGCAGAGCTATGGGGGTTTAAACAAATACATTCTATAGATATAGAGTTACTCCTGATTTCCCTGGTGTGAGGTGTCAATCAGGAACAGTTTTCACTCCTTCCTTTTCCTTTTTTTCATAAACCTCTTATCAGTTCAAAGACACAAATTCAAGAGAATATAAATTATGGTGGTTGACTGCTGGAATGAGTTTGTTCTCACAGCTTCTGGACAAAGACTGCCCACATCACAGCTGGAAGAGAAGCAAAAAGTCCAGGAAGGTTTTTTGAGACTGAATATGTGCTGTACTCTGCTGGGGACAGCAACAAAGCACCACTGGCACAGGCAGTGAATACAATTCTGGTCAGAAATGGATAAAATTTCCCCAGGTGAAGACCAGGTCAGAATTTCTTTCCTTTTGACAAGAAACATTTGTGTTTCTAACCTGTGTTTTTACAAGGTTAATTCATGCTGATGTGCTTGGGCCAGTGTTGGTTTTCAGGGCAGAAAGTGTCCTGTAGGAAATGGAGCTGCTGGTGGATTTAGTGTATAAATGAGTGATGGAATGAGGGAGAGGAAGCAGTATGGGTGAAGGTAACAGCTGCTGAAGAATGCTAAGATGCTTTGCACATATTTACTACCACATAATTACTGTTAAAATTCCTAACACAAATGAGCACCAGTTTATGCCCACAATGTCCTGTCAAGCTGGACATGTTGAAATTTGATCTCTCCTCAAACTTCTCGTACCCCACCTGCAGTCCTGTGTCCAGCTATGGGACCCCCAACACAGGAGGGACATAGACCTGTTGGGAGTGAGTCCAGAGGAGGGCCACAAAGACAATCAGAGGGCTGCAGCGCCTCTCCTATGAAGACAGGCTGAGAGAGCTGGG